GCCGCATTGGAAGTTCTGTCTATATGGGGTTCGGGCGTTGCTTGCGCGTCGCGATATCCGCTCGCTTGTGCACCTCGAATTCTGCTCACGTGGACTCAGAGCCTTTGGCAGGAAATGAATGAGCAAGTTCCGTAAAAGGTATCGCAGCAAATTCAGGAGGTTCCGGAGCAGGCTTCCGGAGCTTGGAGCATGCGTGGCTTCAATTTTCCAGGTGCTCACATGCTGCCTGACCCATGCGGCAACCCTTTCAGCGCAGTTTGCTGGCTCCACCCACTTCCCCACCCATCACCCCATGAGATTGCGACAGGACACGTGTGGCTAAAACAAAGATGAGCTGTGGTGCCTGACCCAATGTGGCAGCCTTTTGTGCAGTTCAGAGCCTGGAGGCAAGTGAAATGCCCTGTATCATCCTGTATCCGATTGGGTTCTATGGAAATAGACCAAACCTGCTGTTCACCCCAACCCCCATCGATGGGAACCGCTGCAGCAGTTTGGAGCGTGCGCAAGTCAAAGTGCACTTGGATTAACCAAACCTGACCTGTGGTACTTGATAGAGCTGGCAACCCTTTCAGCAGTATATAAGTGAGCCCAGGCCCTTCAGGGAATTTAGGGAATTGACGGTGTGCTGGTCTCAAGTCAGATGTGTCAGGTTGGGTTCAAGCCCTGTTCTTAGTGGGAGGTGCTTCAGAGGTTCATGGCATCATGCGAGCTTGAGGTCTTGAGCATTTGGGTTTTCATTGCAATGGCAATGGATCAAGATTGAATTCAATTCAATAAATTGAAAATTATATTCTTCCAATATTGCATATTGATTGCATATTTAATATAATTATTTCGGATCATAATTGCAATAAATTATATATTCCTAAATATTATATTCAACATATAATATTATTATTTTAATTTCTATTTTGGAAGAAAAAAAAAATTATATGAATATTAAAATATATATATAATATAATATATTTATAAAAAATATATTTAAAATAATATTTTATTTTCTTTATTATTATATAAATATAAATCTATATATATTTTTTTTATTTACATTATTGAATATTTTATATATATATAATAATTTAATGATTTATTTTATTTATTGAATTTATAATATATAAATTATCGAATTAAAAATTCGACGATATATTACGAAAGGTAGCTTGGTAAGGGTTACCTTGAATTTGTTTTGCGAAGTAAAGGGATTGGTTTGAAAGCTTGCTCGGAACTAAAGATTGGTAGATTAATGTCTAATACCCCCATCCCCCCCCCCTTCCATGTAATGAATGATTGATAAATTAATTGATTCGACCGTCCCCCCCTCTCCTCTCCTCTCCACTCCCTTCTCCGTCCCCTCTCCCCCCCTCCTCTCTACTCCCCTCCCCGTCCCCTCCCTTCGTCGCTAACACTACTAAATTCTGGACATAAGGTGAAGTCGTGCGCTTAACAGCAATACGACGCTGGCCATGAGGTTGCGTAATACAGCACGAACCCTGTGCAATGAGGTCGTGCGTGCGCACCCGGCAGCCTGACACAACACATATTGCGTTCACAGGTGAAGTCATGCGCTTAACGGCAATACGACGCTGGCCATGAGGTTGCGTAATACAGCACGAACCCTGTGCAATGAGGTCGAGCAATGCAGCTTCGATGCCTGACACAACACATATTGCGTTCACAGACCATAGTGCTCGACACCAACGAGCATCGATGCAACACAACCTTTCTGCAAAGCCCTGTGGAGAAACCCCTCGTGTCGCGGAACACCATTCGACTTAGCCCTATACCCTAGCGTGGCGAAATCTTACCGCATCGTGGAGTATACCCGCCATAGCGTGACGTCTATTCTTGGCAGTACTGGCCGCACCCCTCCAACACTATCCTTACAAGGGGATTGGTCACTGAGTCACTGCGGCTTCGACGCAACGCGTGCAGGCCTGTAATCCTTACACAGTGCGTGCAGCTGTGGGACCATGCCTGGTACACATGCGAGCGTTCATGCATTGCGATTTTTATGCACGCCTGTTTTCACACACCTAGACACAAACGAGCGTCGACGCAACGCAGCCTCTCTGCAGAGCCGTGTGGCGCAATCTGACCGCATGAGCCTTCTTATGCCTTCTTGTGCTCTGGCTTTGTTGGTTTCATCCATGATTGACCAAGGGGCACGTTCCTGAAACACCGGAGACAGTCCCTCACCAGAAAAGGTCCCGACAGCTACTCGGTCCGTCTCTACCTTTCGTGTTTCCCCGCTCAAATATATCTATTGTTGTTTGATTCGATGATTATTTTTTTGAATTAAATGATATTGATTTTTATGTTTATTAAATTATGGATATTAATATTCGATTATTAATTTGATATTATATGATTTTTATTATAAATGTTATTATTGTTATATTAATGTTATTTAGGTAATTCGATGATGATATCGTTTAGTCGAATTAAATGAATTCGAGGTATTTGTTTAAATTAATATATTTGGATGATTTATTGATTTTTTTTCTTTTCTTTTTCGTTAATGCATCTATTAATTTTTTGATTGTATTTTGTATTTAGGCCTTGTCTTTAATTTTATGTTTGGTTTTAATATTTTATACGTTAATTTTGTAGATGGGTTTTATATTGAGATTTTATTTTTTTTTTGTCGGTTGGGCTTTGTGTCCAGGTTTTATCTTCTTTTTGGTCCCGTCTTTGAATTCTTCTTGTCTTCTATGGTTGAATTTTGTATATAATATTGTCCGATATATTATTTATCGGTTTTTTTCCGATCTTTTTCTTCTTTTCTTTTTATAGGTTAGTTTGGTCGCGCCCCTGAACTCTGTGGTTGGGCTTTGTGGTCCGGATTTTATCCTCTTCTTTTATTTTTGATTTGATTGGAAAGGAATATAATTGAAAAAAATAATGATATTAATGCCGACAAAGATTTATTGATGAATTTGTTCTTGGGGTAAAGATACGATGTAGTATACAATCGATATTTAATTAATAATAATTTAAATGAATTTTTTAATATAATCACCAATTATTTTTTTGATCATAGAATTGGATCTTCAAAAAAAAAATCGCTTTGCGCTAGAGCAAGCCAGACCTTAAGATTTTCTAATGGTCCCTAAAGGCGAATCTAATATAATATGAATAAATGAATCGTAAAAAAATAATTCCTAAAATTCATGATTTTCTAGATTTAATAAATCTTAATATAAAATAAGAAAAAAAAAAAAAAAAAAAAGAAATCGAAGGATAATAATGATTATGCAATTAATATTAATATGGAGATGGAAAGAGGATCACAAACATATTACGAGGATAAGGTCTAGATATAGAATCCAACCATAAAATTAATTGAATTTAAGAATCCAATCAATTCTATTCTTTATAAAATAAATTTCGATCAATATATTATTTAGAAAAATATATGATATATATATATATTATATAATATTTTTAAAATATTTATTTAAAAATATATATACATACAAATAAATTATAATCTTTATAATTTGTTAAATACATAATTTAAATAATTCCATATTAAACCAATATTTATATATTAATCATTTAATAATATATATAATATTCTATATTCATTCTTTTAATATAAATAATTATTAATTATATATTTCAAATCAATATATAAATATATATGTTCGAATTCATAAAATATATATTTTTTTTACCGCAATTAAATAATACATTCAATCAATCTAAAAAAACCTATTCTTCTATATGTTTATTTAATCTCACAAATCTTCATATTCGTCTTTATTTAAATGTTTAATTCCTTTATCCATACAAGCAAAATTTATCATCCGAATAATAAACATAATTAACAATATATCAATCCATAATTATTTAATTTTCCATATTCCTTTCGATATCCATTCCAATATATATATATATAAATAAAATTATCTAATCGCATCGCGAATTCATATCCGAAATGTATGAATTTACGAAAATCCCCCTATATTTTAAAAAATATAATTTACTAAATTATTAAATATATAAGAAAAAATCTAAAATCAATATACATAAAAAAATATAGATATCTTTAAATCAAATCCAAAATTATATGAATAGATATATACAATATGAATAATATTGAATTTATATACCAAATATTTCTTTGCATATATAGATATAAAATAAGTATAAATAAGCCATGTTTAATCCGTATATAATTATTTGTTTTTTTCTTTTCATTCTTCTTTGAAATATCCAACCATGCCCGTTCAGAAATTCGATCATCGCTGAGTCGGCGGGCAAATGTCTTGTACCTCCCAAATGTCGTTTGTTCGAAGCCTTTTCAGGTGCTCGGGTCCGAACTCTTGTGACTTCTCAATCCCGTTGTTGAAATACTTGACATGTTCACTGCCACGATTTGTTGAATGAACATCATGAACGACACATCTTCAAGGCAAAATTGAGTGATTCAATCTGTTTGTGAGAAGGAATGCTGGTTCAACGGCTGCGGGGCACTTCTTTCTGAACACATTGTTGCGGCGCAAGAATCTCGCATTATTTTTAGAAGAACATCTGGACCACATACGATTATAAATATATTCCTGACCCCTTCCTGACCCTTGACCCACCAAAATGCATCACAAAGTTAGTTGATAATTTGTAGTTCTCCCCAACGGAGAGAGGTAAAATGCCCCTCTAAGCAGGGCTCCTTCAAAACCATGGCCAAGCTTCTTCACCATCTATACATTTCTTGATTCACGATCGCACAGGTCCTCAAGCCTCAACATAATCCAAGTGGTCATTCTATGACTGCTTTTTACTGGTTCTTACAGGCTGTTGCCATGTGACATCATGTGACCATCCCGGGTGGTGATGTTCGCGGGGCTTCAGGGACGAGCGGCACAAGGAGCGTGAGTGGGTCCTGGGAGCTTTGGATGGGTCCTGGAAACGATGTTTTTGACTTCAAAGCAGCACAGCAACTGCAGGTCAGCTCTGCAGGTCCACTGTTTCTCGTTTTTTTTGTGGGGAGGTCAGCTTTAGAATGTCGCTGGATGTTCGAGAGTCACTTTCCCCGTTTCTGGTTCATGGTGGGCGCACGGAAAATCCAGCTCAGGGCAATGTGGAAGGTCTCGCTGCACCAAGGATCCCAGGCCATCGGTGAAGAAGACTTTGGAGACTCCGTACCTGGGACGACTGGATTGGGATCGATGGAGCCGTGGATGACGAGGAATGACGTGTGAACCACAAATTTATACACATCAGCACCTTCAGGACCTCGGGGTCACCTGAATGGAAGCCCCAGCCCACTACCTAGGGATCTCCATTGGACACTCCTTTGAAGGTGCAGGTATATTTACATCTTCGAGGTCAGGAATGCGCGATCTACCCTCACAACTTGGCCATGTTCAGCTGCATCAAACCAATTCATTGGGGTTTGTATGAGTCTATGTGCGAAGAGAGGCGCCTCCGCATGGCCGCTGCTGGTGTAGGGCGTTAACCCAAAAACAAAACATGACTGACATGGAGCACAAAAGCTACTCACTCCAATTTTCGGGCAAAAAGCCGAGAACTAGCTCTGTAGCAGCAGCACTTGTTACATGGCCCTCGTTCCACTCATTCCTGAGACTGCCAGCAGGTTATTGTAAGGAAGAACCATGCCACTGTGGCTTTCAGTCAAGTCTGATGTACCAGCCCCCCAAAAGTGCTGTAATTCCTTAAGACGAATACCAGAAGAAGAGATGAAGATTCAAGATAAGATAAACAAAATATAGATTGAACGTGGACGTTCGATGAGAAGGTTTGGATGGTGATGGAAGTGGTGTAAGAACACGTGACAACGGTACGTACCTGGCTGCGAGTCAAGTAGCTTCTTTAACAAGTGAAGGCATCCGCGGGAACAGGGCTCCGCCCATCCCAAAGATGGTCCTGGTGAAAATGGTTGCTTCAACCTATTTCATCACACCGCTGGGCTGTACCATGATGTATGCGGGGAAGATTGATTAACATGGAACCTTGAAAACCACTGGTTTGTAGAGGAAAATGGTCTTCCAAACGCCAATCTTCAGGTTCCATGTTAATCTTCCCGGGTGTACCTGTTAAGAACATTTAAGAACGAGCCCTCTTCGGAGTTTTCAGGCAGAACTGCCATTCGTTTTGGGCTGGGTTGCTGCTCTATAGCCTCCTTCCAGGTCGCGGGGGATGGGCAAGATGTGTGTGTGTGTACGTATTTTTTCTCGGAGTCATTTCCATTCTTTAATCGTTTCCATGTTCGTTTTCTCTTCGTTTCTTCGTTTCGGTACCAAAAGCACGACTCTTCGACGACCAGTCCTATGTCTGCGATCTCGACGATGAGCATCTGCTTGTGCATGGCTTCTGCTAAAGATGGCAGCTGCAAAAGGCAATGCACCTCCGGAGAAGCCAAGAAGCCTTCTCCGGCCAAACAAATGCACTTCGTTTTGATTCGCTCTGTTCTGCAAGAACTCAGCCCCTTGGTGAAACATACCCGCTTTGACACACTGTTCATTCCTTGAGTCACATCATGCCACCGCCTCAACCCACAGTGGTCAAAGGACCCCCCCTGAAATCACCTCCGGCATTTTCTCCCTCAAGATGAACCCAGCAGTTTCGGATTGATCGCATGATCGCATGATCGCATACGTCCTATAGATTTGCGTGACATTCTGCAGGATTAACCGGCAGGAGGCTGCAAGCAACGTACATTCACCCCTAAAAACCATCCAAATTGCAAGTCAACATTTTCCTACCCAGGAAAGTTTGAGTATATAATCATTATAATCCGTACATATCCGTACAGTATATATAAATATGATCCATGTCGAGCCCTTGACGACTCACCTGGCCAAAACGATATCTATATAATCCGGTGACCTCCGCGTGCCGTTGGGTCTTCCTCCACTTCGGCAGCAAGAGCGGATGTTGATCCCTCCTCATGCTCGAGCAGGTTTCAACGCATGAAAGTCACGAAGTCCCTCATGCAGTGGGTGGAGAAAGAAAGCCAACATGGTGAAACCAGGCTTCAAGTCTCCGGTGGCCTAGCCAGGCATGATGGAACGCCTCGCGATGCCTCGCGTTGCCTGCTGAGGTTTGGCGGACGGGGGTGGCCCAATGGACCCTGGTCCTTCGCTGTTGCAACGGCTCGGCCACGTGATTGAAGCCTGGGCCGCAGCGAGGCCGACAGGGCCCTTTGAGGGAGAGATTGGATTGTCAAGGGTTTCAGCTGTCAACCCCACCGAAAGGCTTCATGATCTTCCTAAGAATTCATTCAAAGTCCAAGACACGACCCGTCCATGTAAGCATATACGAGTCATTGTTCTCACTCATATGAAGGATGGCGCCCCCTGTGAAGACCCTGAAATCCGAATATCAAACAGGTCCGTTCTCCATGTCCATGTGGGGCACCGGTCCGGTCCTGAGTCGAACGGGCAGAAGAAGGGGACGTGGGGCGAAGGCGCGGGCTGCAGCTGGCGCCAGTAGCGCCAGTCTGGGTCTTGGGGTCTGATTGGATGTATGCTGGCTGCTGATGAATGCTGGCTAGGCCGTACTACCAAGACCTTCCAAGCCAGGTGTTTGGACACCCCCAACTCACCTCTAAGAGGCTATAGTTACATATAGCCACCTCTTGGAAGGTCCTGGTATTGGGATTTTTGATCTCCACGAGCCCCTTTGACTTGACCAGGTGTGATCATCGAGGGGCAGTGCGCCACATCAGCCACTGACGGATGGCACCATCTTCCACCATCATGACTATGGTGGCCCCCAAATAGATAGAAAAGTAGATCCCCTCAACAAAATGTATTGGAAACCGTTTCTATCCTTTTCAATCTATAATATACTATTTGGAGATCACTATACACTATACACCTCTGGTCATGTTCTGGCCTCCTCCCTCCTCTCTTCTCATCTTCAGCGACGATCAACTCCCGAGAGATTTCTACCAATATGAAAATGAATTGCGCCATGCAACGCAACGAATGAAAGAGGCCCTCAAAGCCTGAAGCAAATGAAAGACCGCCTCGATTGACCTCTAGGATTAGCAGATTAGCAAAACAGTCTGAAACCTTCTACAGCATTCTTGTGGGGAAGAAGGTCTGACTTCTCTTTCCGGTCCATGCTCTCTCGCCTTCAGTAACCACTCGCGGTCCATCGAGCAGCACTGCACCATGCCGGCGCCCTCAAGCATGAAAACGTCGTTAGGAACTCGCTAAATCCAACCCCCAGAAACTCAATGCGACTGGAATACAAACCTTAGATCAGCTTAGAATTAGGTAGCTGAAACCATCATGGAAGTGCATGGCACTTGATGGCATCACCTGCTTGGTTTCAGACTTCAAGGGTCATCCGAGTCGTCGGAGCCGTTTTCCATCCACCTTTAGGGAATTCTCCAACCCTATAATAATGTAGACTCTTAATTATATAATCACCCCCCAAGTTGAATTGGACATCCTCTTCATGCGGGGGGTTTATTGATCAAGAGTCTACACTACACACGTACATATAGCTAAACCGGCTAAACGGCTAAACCCATCATGTCCTACCCAAAAAAAAAACACACTGGAAGAAATTGGCAGGAAACTCTGGTGAGTCGTAAAAATAATCCCAAATCATCCCACTGGCATCTCAAAACTTCACGTTGCCTTGGGTTATTTGGGATGCCAGTAAGATGTCAGTACAACTCATCTCAAAAGATGCCAGTAAGATGTGCTCCGCGATTGCCATCTCAACACTTATTTGGATGTCAGTGCACCACACTTTGAAGCCAAATCTGAGCCACCCAAGGGCCTCTCAAGACCAACGTGGGAGCCTTTGCTGATATGAAAAGGCACCGCCCCCGCAGCCGAGGGCGGAGTTGGCAACACAAATGGCCGGTTTGCACATGTGAGGTCTTCAACTGATCATATACCTCCATCCAACGAACATGCTAGATCAGGCAAGTGGAAAATTGCAAATCATTTGGAAGCGCCCAAAGACATTTCCAAGACCCCTCCAAGCGCCCAAAAACAAGCGCCCAAAACATTCCTCCAAGCGCGCAAAGAGCCCAAAACAAGCGCCCAAAACATTCCCAAGACCCCCATCCCTTGGCCCGAGTTGCGCAGCACCCCCTGCAGCGTGCCCTGCGCCGCCAGAGCCGCAGCTCTTTGCACCAATTCGGGCAAATAGGCATAGCCTGCCGCGAAATTTCAGCATGGCCAGTGAACATGCATGCTGCGGAGAATTCCGATGGGCTTCTTAAAGGTCAGAACTATTCGGAATTCCTGTGGTGGGGCCCGCATACAGCAGGCCTTCCCTAACTCTCAGAACCTCCAATGACTTGAGTTCTGATAGATCCAAACACGCCTTCTGTGTGAGCCAAATCACTTGGAACCGCGCCGTGCCGTGGCGCCTGCATCAAGGCTGGGCGCCTTGCATGGTGTGAGGCCATTGGAGGCTAAATCCTCCAAGAAAGCTGGCCTCAGCCGGCATCAAAACTCAGGTGCCCTCAACAATCTCTCACAAAACAAGGAGCCCCTTCTTGCTCCTAGTAGTGAGGCCAGGAGCCCCTAGTAGCTTCTTGCTCCTAGTAGTAAGGCCAGGAGCCCCTAGTAGCTTCTTGCTCCTAGTTCAACAATCTCTCACAAAACAATGTCTTTTATGTTTAACTTTCAAGCTATCTGTGGTCTTTGACTGCTAGCTAATCACAATCTCTTCTGTCAAAGAAAACGTTCAGCGAGATCCCCGCTGCAAGACTGCAAGGAGCCTCCTTCACAGCCCACAGCGAATCCAAACCACTTGGGGGTGCCGCAGAACAATGAAGAGGGGTTCTTCCAATATGTCACTACTTGGATGCTTTAGAGGGCCTGAAGATCAATAATCGCGAAACAAAAACTCACCTCACCCTTTTGCTGTGTTCACGAACTAACCAGCTTCAGCCGTGGTCTATTCACAAGCTCAGCTGGAGAATGACACCTACATTGATAGTGCACATTATCATCCTCATAAACCATCATCATTTCACTCATTCGCCATCATGAACCTCAATCATCATGGCCCGGTAACCGTTACCAAAAGAATCCTCACTCAACTCCCACTCCCACTCCCGCAAACTCATGAACCTTCCTTCGAGTCTTCGAAGGTCGGTTTTTCTCCACCTTTCAACCTGAGAGGCTGAAACGCCAAGCGCCAATCCACGGCCCGCCCCAACTGCTCCAGTGCCCGGCCCGCACCGCCGCGGTCGCCTGACCAAACAAGGGCGACCGCAGGTGGTCGCCTTCTCGGCGATGAATGAAGATCGGCGGAAGAGCTTGATTGCTTCTCGCATGCATTCCAATTCAAGAAGCAGATGTTTAAAGCCTTGAATGTAACCTCCTATCTGGGATTCATACTTCACTCTCGTGACCATTCCCAAACGATCCATAAATGGCAAATATGACCAACATTCACCACCAAATGTAGGCCATATGTGCGCCACTATGGATCCTTTTGGAATTGGAGATTCAAAGCATTTTGCCAAACATCTCCAAATCGCATTACCCCCTCCGAACATAAAGCATCCAAAGACCCTGATCAAAGGTGGGCAAGGCCGGTGTGCATTGAAGCGGACGTCGCCAATCATGAACCCATCTCAGTGATTGGTCCTTGTTTCTCCGGGGGCCTCAAGCCCGAGCGTGGCCGTGACATCTATAGCATAGGCTATGGCCAGCATAGGCTATACCTACACTCCCTGAAACATCTGAAACTAGGAAGTGGCACCCCCCCCGTTTGTAGAGGAACATGGTCTTCCAAGGGAGTGTAGATCGTTTAACGTATGCAACATGTCTTCTGAACTGAGCTGGTTCTAGATGTCCTTGGACCTTCAGAAACCCGGGGTCCTGGACCTGTCGACCCAGTCTAGCAGGGTCTTCCAACCAGGTGACCCCGAGTTCCTGAAGCTGCTGGTAGGTATAACGGGTCTATCCTATGCCCAGTAACAGTGGATGATGTTGGTTGGGTTGCAGGTCTTTCTCTAAAATAGTGATAATTGTACACCGACTGTTACAGGTACTAGGACACCCCCCCAAGTGTATGTGTATATATACATATATAGAATGGTCGGATGTGGTCAGCGCCTTGGAACAAAACTGCTGCCTTTGGGGGTTGCGCCGCCAGTTCAATCAACTGCCCAGTGCGTGATTTGGAGAACCTCCCGATCCACATCTGCCACGGTGGCATCACTTACTCGGTCACGCTTAGCCGCAGGCAGATTCGACCGCTCTCCAGCCCTGAAGCTGCTTGCCACCCCAGCAAGCGCCTAGTTCCAATGCAATGGCTGCATAGAGCCCCACACCTACGGCGAAACCACTGAAGTGGGAAAGAACATGACGAACGAACACTCCAAGGCAATGTGATGTCTGTTAGGTGAAAATAACCTCAAAACAGTCTAGACGATATAACGTAGAGACCTTCTAAAGTGACAGTTTGGACACATACACCAAAAGCGCCAAAAGGAGCACGACTAGAAGCCCTGCGGCACGAGGCAAAACCAGGATGGTTCTCCCATGTTCTCCCCTTATAAGGGTGGACTGATTCACTGCTTCATCCTGACTGCAACCGCACATGGTCCAGTCACTCTCACTGTCTCTCCGTGTCACCTCACACGAACTATCTCAGCCATCTCAGCTTCCACACGACACACCGTACCACCGTGCCACGAACCTCCCCCACGCGATCTCCGCCTTCCACGTCCCACTGCGTGGCACATCGATCCCAGCATTCCAAGGCCAAGCTCAGGCGCCAGTCGGCGGCCTTTTGTGCCCAAGGGGCCTGCATGGAGCACATGCAGCTCAGTCACCATGGATCTACCCTCCGTACCTATCCAGCAGTACTTGCACGTATCTCTAGGGTCTAAAGATCTCATAAGGTCTCATATGGTCTCATGGCTGGATTTGTTGCCACTTAGCACCATTCCGAATTCCGCA